CATGCACTTTACAATTTATAAAAAGAATAAACATAAAAAAAAAAAAAAAAAAAAAGGTAATCTTGCAAGCTGTTTTTTTTTTTATTTTGTTTTGTTTTTTGCATTTGAGGACAGGGTCTCACTACATAGACTGGACTCATAGTGATTCTCCTGTTTCAGCCTTCAAGTACTGGTATTACAGGTATGCACCACCACGTCCAGTCTCAATCACCATCTCAGTGCACCCCAGGGCAGGGCTGGCATGGCAGGCTGGGGATTGAACCCCAGCCCCTGTGTCTGAGTAAACAGGCACTTTAATCCGCTGAGCTATTTAGCCAGCCCACAAACTACTTGTGATTATCATGAAATATTCCCCAGAATTCCATTAATGGTTTTCAACTTCCTTTTCTATAAAATTTTAATTTGAATCCAGGCATGGTGAGGAACACCTATAATCCCAGCATTCAGAGGCTGAGGTAAGAGGATCACAAGTTCAAGGCCAGCTCCGAGACCCTATCTCAAGAAAAAAATAATAACTTGAAAAAATTCAAATTTACAGAAAAGGTTTTAAAACATCCTATAAACGTCCATATATATTTCATCTACACGCACCAATTATTAACATCTAGCGAGTTTTTCTTTTTGATCTCTCTCTACTAGTACATGGACAAACACATGAACCTTTTACTCTCAAAAACATTCATTTCAGATTATGTTGCTGACAGCAAGATCTTTTATCTTTAAAACTTCAGAATGTCTTTCCCAAGAAAAGGAACATTCTCTTATATATACAACTACTACACTGCACAATATCAAATTCTGAAATATTTTCACTGAAAAATGTAACATAAATGTTACTATTATCTACTATAGCCTATATTTAAATGCCACCAAGTGTCCTAATAATGTTTTTTTTTAAATTTTTTTTTAACATTTATTTATTGTGTGTGTGTGTGTGTGTGTGTGTGTGGCCAGCTCAGCCCACCAGGGGGCGCGGCTGGCTGGCATGTGGTGCTGGGGGATCGAACCGCGGTCCCTGTGCTTTGCCAAGCTTGTTCCAAGTAGGTGCTTTAGACCACTGAGCCATCTCTCCAGCCCTTTTAAGGAATTTTTTTTTTTTTTTTTTTTTTTGCTCCTTGAATGCCTTCAGGGCACTTTGCATGGCTGGAGTGTTGTGGGGATCGAACTACAGCAAACTGAGGCTGCCAGCATTGTGGAAGCAGCCACTTAAAGAACTGAGCTAGGGCTGGGCCCCCCAATAATGTTCTTTAACCAAAAAACCAACTTTTGGGGTCAGCCAGATAGCTCAGCAGACTAAAGTGGCTGCTTAGGCAGAGCACAGCAACTGGGGTTTGATTCCCGGCACCATAACCATGCTGGCCCTGCCCCAGGGGTGCACTGAGACTGGGCATGGTGATGTGCACACCTGTAATCCTAGCACTTGGGAGGCTGGAAACAGAAGGATCACTATGACTCCAAGCTGCATAGTGAGATCCTGTACATCTTGTAATAATTAAAAACAAAAACAAAAACCACAATTTTTGCTGGGGATATGGCCCAGTAGCACAACGCCTGCCTAGCAAGCGTGAAGTCATGAGTTTGATTCCCAACACCAACACCCAACCCAACCAATTTTTCTGGACTAAATATAAAATCTAAAATCAGTGAAACTGTCATGCAATGTTAATTGCCTTTCATCTGGAAAGTTCTTCACTCTTTCTTAGTCTTCTGTCTTCTCTTGATTTATGTGGCGCAGATATAGCTTGAATAAGGCTAGACTGCTTCCCCATGGAGGTCATGTGTCAGGGGCTTATGTGATGGGAGCTTAGTCCTCAAAGTGGCAGTGTTAGGAGGCAGAATGGAACCTGAGAGGAGAGGGCTGGCAGAGAAACCAGTGCTTTCTGGAGCTATGGTTAACAGTCAGTTCTCTTGGCAGGGTCATTATAAAAGAGTCAGCCTGACCCTTGAATCATTCTCTGGCTTCTTATCTTGTCAAATACCCACTCCCTCTGGCCAGGCACTTCCTACTGTGGTGCTATCCACCTTACCAGAGCCAGCCAATACCATGCCCTCAGCTCTCCAAACTGCATATTCACTGCACCTTGTTTTTTTTTTTTTTTTTTTTGGCGGAACCAGGGGTTGAACTCAGGCCCCTGCGCTTGCTGGACAAGCACTTACTCTACTGAGCTATATCCCCAGCCCATCACTGTACTTTTTTATATATCATCCAGCACCGGATATTTTTGTAAAGCAACAGGAAAGAGACTAATATGGGAGTCAGCTCAGTCATATTCTAGACAATCTGCACTAGTCAGGTCAACAGGACTTGTATTTGTGCAAAGAAATATAATTTTTTTTTTCCCTTTTGAGACAGGGTTTTGCTGGTTGTAGGCGGGCCTGGAACTCACAGCAATCTTTCTGCCTCAGCCTCCCAAGTGCTGGGATTACAGGTGCTACTGAGAAATAGAATTCTTTAGGAGCTTTAGGGCAATACCTGGAACACTCACAGCACAGCAAAATTTTGCTGGTGGAAATTTAAAAAGTTAAAATTCCAATGATTATGTACTTACCCAAATGGGAAGGATGAACAACATCTGCTGTTTCTTTTTCTAGCTCCAGAAGTTCAATTTCCAAGTTTTTCTACATTAGCAACAAAAGTAGTGAGATTGAGTTTACTTGGAGAGTCACCTGAAGCCAAAGCCTCAAGCATTGATAAAAATGCAGTACTGGCATCCCACTGCACAGAAGTGTCATTGCTATCCTCCCCCCTCAATCCCCCATCTCCCATCTCATGTTGTCCACTTTAACTTATTTTCCCTGCCCTAAGGCTAGGGAGATAGATTGGTGGTCTAAGCGCCTGCATGGCAAGCACAAGGACCTGGAATTGATTCCTGGTACCCTGACGCCCAGAACTCCAGGGAACAAAATACTGCGCCAGCCACCAAAATTGGGTGTGGTGATGCATGCCTATAATCCCAGCACTGAGGCGGCTGAGACAGGAGGATCACTATGAGTCCTAGTTGCATAGTAGGATCTTATATCAAATAAATAAATAAATAAAAGTTTTTTAAAAAGTTCCATATGTTTTTCCTGCCCCAGTCCTGTTAATTGATGAGAACAGGAGACTCTGAAATTGGGGAGAGAGAGTTGTACAATCAAGGTTCCCAGAGCACAGAAAACAGGGCTGTGGAAGGACAAACCAGAACACATAGCACTCTCCAGGGCCGAGAGGGCTTGGAATTCCTCTGTGCTCTGAATTGGGCAGTAATGGCATCCAAATTCCATTTTTAGGAAGCCTGCCACAGCCAGGAATAGTGTCAGACACGTGTAATCCTGGCACTCTGGGAGGCTGAGGCAGGAGGATCACAAATTCTAGCCCAACCTGGGTAACTTACAAAGATCCTGTCTAAAAATTTTTTTTTAATAAAATATGGGCTGGGTATATAGTGCAATGTGAAGGCCCTGAGTTTAATTCCCAGCAGAAAATGTATGTATGTGTGTAGGCTCTCTCTGAAGCCAGGCATGGTGGTACACACTTGCAATCCCTTTTTTTGAGACAGGATCTGTCTATGGGTCAAATTTTTTTTTTTTTTCCCCCAGAAATGGGGATTGAACTCAGGCCCTTGCACCAGCCAGGATCTGTCTAGGTAGTTCGGGCTGCCTTAACTCACTATGGTGCCCAGGTGGGCCTCAAACTCAAAGCAATACTTCTGACTTAACCTCCCACATGTCAGGATTATTGCCATGCACCGCCATACCTGGCTACAACTGTAGTCCTTCACTCTGGGAGGATGAGGCAAGAGGATTAGAAACTCAACGCCATCTTAGACTACATAGGGAGGCCCTGTGATAGGAAGATGATTTACCTATGCAGGAGCCAGGTGATTTAAGAAAGCTTTTCATTTTAGTGACATTGCCCTGCTGTGGCTACTGTTAGGTCTTGCTAATTTGCCTACACTGGACTTAAATTGTGATCCTCTTGCATTAGCCTCTTCCAAAGTGCTGGGATTACAGGCATGCACCACTATGCCTACCCTGTTCCATTTCAGCTGAGAATTGAACCCAGTCCCTTACATATACCATGTACAAATGCACTACCACTGAACTACATCCCAACGTAAGGACTGTTTTTCTTTTTCTCCTATAGAAGTAGGAAGTTAAGAGTTCAACATAAATTACCTGGTAGATTTCAGCTTGCATATTTGTGGTCTGTCGTAGTCTGGAGAAGTTAACAAAGCAAGGAGCTGTTTCCTTCGATATGTTTAACATCTCCTATAGGTATATGAACAGGGAAAGGAGGAGTATGTAACAGAACATTTCTGTGAATAGCATGCCCATAGGACTAAAAAAAGACATTATGTCCAACCTTAACCCTGACCATGAAATACAGAGCAAAACAGTAACAATGTTTATTTCCTATTTGTAGAATCTTCACTGTCACACAACTCTAGCCTAAATGTTTAAAAAGTAAGAAATAGAAAGACTAATGGTACTATTTTCTAAAGTGCACACACAGTAGCCCTAGATAAAATAAGCAAAAGATAGCCAAGTGTGGTGGTGCACACCCGTAATTCCAGGACGCAGGAGGCTGAGGCAGGAGGATTACCACACGTTCGAGGCCAGCCTGCGCTACACAGTGAGTTTCAGAGCAGCCTGAACTACATATCAAGACCCTGTCTCAGGTCTGGCCAGATAGCTCAAAGGACTGCAGGCTCAGGGACCAGGTTCGATCCCCAGTATGCTGTGCTGGTCCTGCTCCCGGGGTGTGCTGAGACAGAGATTGAGAATGGGGGTGGTGGCACATGCCTGTAATCTCAGCGCTTGGGAGGCTGAAAACAGGAGGATCACTACAAGTCCCAGATGCGTAGTGAGATCCTGTACCAAATACATAAAAAATAAAATAAAACGACAAAAAAAAAGAGAAGAAATTCCATTTGACCCAGCTATTCCCCTCTAGCTATCTTCTCAAAAGAGTTAAAGACATCATATTGCAATGATACATGCACATCCACATTTACGGCAGCATAAATCATAATAGCTAAATCTTGGAAGCAGCTTACTCAACAGATGGATGGATTAAAGAAAATGTGGCATTAATACACACTGGAATACTTCCCTGTCATAAAGAGGAATAAACTTGAGTCATATGCAGGAAAGCAGATGAAATAAATCTGATGCACAAGCTTAAATATTGCCCAATTTCACTTATTTGAGAAACCCACAATAAAAGGAAATAAAAAATAGATAACAGAAGATGTGTTAAATATATGTACCAATTCCCCACAAGGAATGCAATCATGTAATGCAAACATGTACTAAAAGAAATTTCATCAAATTGTTTTCTTTTTTCTTTTTTTGCGGAACTGGAGATTGAACATAGGCCCTTGCCCTTGCCAGACAAGCGCTTATTCTACTGGGCTGTCTCCCCGGCCCCAAATTGTTTTCAAGAAAATATGAAAAAAAAAAAAAAAAAGAAGAAGAAAATATGATACCAAAATTTTAAGCCTAACTGATGGTATCTCTTCTACCTCACCCTTCCTCCATTTCTTTTTTCTTCAATACTATGACAGGAATTAAACCCAAGGCCTGGGCATTTCCAGGCAAGTGGTCTCTTAAACAGGGTGCTGAAGCCAGTCATGGTGGCCAACACCTGTAATCCCAGCATTCAGGAGGCTCAGGGAGGATCGCACAGTTCAAGGCCAGCCTCCACCACAAAGTGGGATTTAAAAAAAAATCAAACATACTAAAAATGGTTCTGAAAGAAAAAAAAAAAGGTTCTGCTAAGTTGCCCAGGCTGGCCACAAACTTGAGATTCTCCTGCCTCAACTTCCCAAGGAGCTGGGATTACAAGTGTGCACCATGATATCACACCATTAATGGGTATTTAAAATAAATCTAAGGGGCCGGGGAGATGGCTCAGTAGGATAAGCGCTTGACTGGCAAATGCAAGGATCTGAGTTCAATCCATGGTTCCGCCAAATAAATAAATAAATAAAATAAATCTAAAATCTTACAAGACAGTATCTTATCAGAGTTCTTAAAAGATGATAAAATGTGTCAGAAAACAAAGCTCTAAAAGCTTAGTTTCTTTCTTTTCTTTCTTTTTTTTTTAAAGCTTAGTTTCTTTAAAAATACCTTAAGAGTTTGGGGCACAGCTCAATGGTAGAGGGCTTGCCTAACATGCCCTCGATTCCACTCCCATCAAACACCAATAATGCCTATTATGTCTATAATGATTCGTCTAAGTACAAAAAAGCTGCGTATTCCCCATAAATTTTTCATCATGTCTGTATTGCTCATTTCTGCAGGAGAACTTACTTTTAACTTTTCTCAATTTCCTTTTTTTTTTTTTTTTGTGGTACGAGGTATCGAACTCAGGACCTTGCACTTGCCAGGCAGGCGTTTATGCCACTCAGCTATATCCCCAGCCCTCAATTTCCTTTTTTTTTTTTTTTTTTCCGTCCTCGAACGCCTTCAGGGCACTTTTGGCCAGCGGGAGAGTTGTGAGGTTCGAACTCCAGCAACCTGAGGCTGACAGCTTTGTGGAAGCTGCCACTTAAAGGCCTGAGCTAGGGCCAGGCCCCCTCAATTTCCTTTTTAAAGCGAAATTCTTCAATTTTCTTTCTATGCATCAAATTTTCTTTTCCTCAACCTTAATGCTTTTGCCCCCATCCTTCATTCTCATCTGTCATATTCATTAGTCCCTCAAAAGTTCAATTTCACCCTCCACTGGTTGCTTCACCCTCACCTATGAACATGCTCTTCTTACCCAATTTAAAACTTACATCCCTCTATTGTAACTAAAAATTAATCTTTTCCTGCTTCACGTTACAACGTTTTTTATACATTATCCTTTTTGCCAATACTTATTGTTTGGCGAAGGGGGCTTACAAGGTGCCCAAAGAAAAGCTAACCCTGGCGTTCTGTAGTCAGCCCCTCCTGACCCCCACACACTTCAGTACTTCCCATAAATAAGAGTGGTTGAGAACGCTTTTTCACTCCTTACCGTTATTTCCAAAACCCGCGGCACGCTCTAATTTAGAGGCAGTATCAACAAAGTAACACTATTCTATCTCCCACAAGCGGGTCTGGGTAATTTGTATATAAACACTCAAAACATTCTACTCCCAACACCATCTACTCGGTTAGTCGTTATTGAAGAATCCAGGGCAGACTCCTTAGGATGGTGACAAATGCCAACCGGCACACCTTCCACCTCACAACCACATCCTGTCGCCCCCGAGGGCACCGCTTTGATGACGAAGCCCCCAACCCACCTGAGTGACAATCCCTGAGGCCACAAGGTGGCCCAGCAACAGCCCAACGGCGTTGGGCTTCGTCGCCGGGTCCCAGGGGTTAGAAGCCGCCATGCTCTTTCCCGCCTCCCGGGAGCGCGCCGGGAATGAGTCGAACGCCAGGCGCAGACTCGGCGCGAGAAGATGACGTTGCGCGCGAGCCTGTAAGGGCGGAAGCCCTGGAAGCCCATCCCAGACTAGCTCCGGTCCCGGGTCGGCTGCTCAGGATCCTTCTCTCTTCCGAGCGCTGAGTAATCGCTAGCGAGTCCAGGGAGTTGTGGTCCTCCCGAGGCTCCAGGAGGCGCACTTCATCAGAGTCTCAAAAGCTGCAGGACTTGGGGGTCGGGCTGAGTGTTCTTCCCTTTCTTCCTTGTCCGTCTTGGCCGGCGTCCAGAATCCAGAAATCGGCCGAAGGTGACACCTGAAGTGGACACTGTAACGGGAGACCGACGGGGTGCGACTAGAAGGGGTGACAGCAGCACTCCTTCCTACGGGATCTGAGGCGCGGCAGTAAGATGGGAAACAGTGCCCTCCGCGCTCATGTGGAAACGGCGCAGAAAACGGGTGTCTTTCAGCTTAAGGACCGTGGGCTGACCGAGGTGAGACGGGGAGGGACCGGACCTGGGACCTTGCAGGGGGCGGCGAAGTTAATCAGGGAGGGGCTCTGCCCGCTGTCGACTCCTTTCTCCAGTTCCCCGCAGAATTGCAGAAGCTGACGAGCAACCTTAGGACTATCGACTTGTCCAACAACAAGATCGAGAATCTCCCGCCTCTGCTGATAGGGAAGTTCACTCTGCTGAAGAGCCTGTCCCTGAACAGCAACAAACTGAGTATGGCTTTTGTGCCTCGTAATCAGCGGTGACGGGGTGGTTTTTTTGTTGCAAGCTGATTTTCGTTGTTGTTGTTATGAAACTATTCAGAGGACACAAGATAGAATGCCAGATTTATGGAAACTTTTACCTCTTACTGTATTTCCAAGGCTCTGTGGGTGGTATTATTAGTGAGCTAACTTGGACTACTTAAAGATCGTTAGGACGAGATGTAAACAAAGTTACCTAACTTGCAAGAGGGAATGTAGGGGCCGGGGAGATGGCTCAGTGGAATAAGCGTTTCCCTGGCAAGCCCAAGGGCCTGAGTTCAATCCACGGTTCCGCAAAAAAAAAAAAAAAAAAAGGAATGGAACAGGCTTTCCCAAATCTCACAAAACTGCTATCAGATTGTGCCGAGGCCCCTTCACAAAGGAGCTCATTACACACGTAAGTGTTGCTGTGTTTTTATGGCACCCTCACCTTCTGAACATCTTTGGTAAAATGCAATACCTGAAGTGGCACATGTGATAACTACATTTATTAGCAAGAGGGGAATAGGCTGCCATGTAGGTTTTTTAAATAAATATCATCAAAGGTTTTCAGTTTTATTGGGTTTCAATTTTTTTTCTTTACCAGCTGTTCTACCTGATGAGTTATGCAATCTGAAAAAACTTGAGACGCTTAGCCTAAACAACAATCATCTAAGAGAACTGCCGTCTACCTTTGGGCAGCTCTCTGCCCTCAAGACCCTGAGCCTGTCTGGGAACCAACTGGGAGCACTGCCACCCCAACTCTGTAGCCTCAGGCACCTGGATGTTTTGGATCTTTCAAAGAACCAGATTCGGAGTATACCTGACCTGGTTGGGGAGCTGCAGGTCATCGAGCTCAACCTCAACCAGAACCAGGTCTAGAGCTTATGGTTTGGGGTTTGTTTTTAACTTTAGTATATGTTTGAGTGTATGGTCTCCTGATAACCTCTTGTCCTCTAAACTGTAATCATGGAATTGAGTATCAGAGGCTAGATGAGAGTTATATTCTACAAACTGAATTAATTTTTCTTTTTTTTTTTTTTTGTACCAGGAATCAAAGTCAGGACCTTGCATTTGCCAGGCAGGCACTTGTGTCCTTAAGCTATATTCCCAGTCCCTGAATTAATTTAAAAGTTCACAAAGCTATGGAGTTGGGACATTAGATGTGTTTGTTGTGTAGGTGTTTGAGGGAGGGTGGGAAAGGTAAGAATAAAATAATTTCAAAAGTTACTTAAAGTCATATTTATGTGTGTGTGGTATTGGGGATCAAACTGAGGGCTTTGGCCATGGCAGTCAAGTGCTTTACCACTGAGCTACATTCCCTAGCTCACAAGTAATTATTTAAAAAGTATAATTGCCAGGGGTGGTGATACATGCTTGTAGCCCCAGCATTAAGGAAGCTAAAGCCTACCTCAGGGAAGCACTTATTCTACTGAGCCATCTCCCTGGCCCAGAGACCCTACCTCAAAAAGACAAAGCAAGCAAACAAAAATAATAATTCAACCTTTCTTTGATATACATGGTGCTATGGTGTGTAGTGCTGTTTGTTGTTTGTGTGTGTGTGTGTGTGTGTGTGTGTGTGTGTGTGTGTGTATGCAGAACCAGGGATTGAACTCAGGCCCTTGCGCGCGCTTATCCTACTGAACTATCTCCCCAGCCTCTGTCTGCTTTTGAAATGGGAGCCTCACTGTGTTGCCCAAGCAGGCATTGAACTTGCAGTCCTCCTACTTCAGCTCTGGAGCAGCTGGGATTACAGCCATGCGTCACTACCATCGCCATCCCCCACCAGTCACAGTGATCTTGAAAAGCTCAGGACTCTTCAAACGTGTTCTTACCCATCTAGTGAGGAACTGTACTAGAGACACAGTGTGGCAATGCAGCTTAAACTCATAGGTTCTGAGTTAGACCTCAAAGGTTGCCAGTTTTCTTGTTATGTCTTTGTTAAATATATGTCCTCCTTTTTCTGAAAAGTCTTGGGGGCCTGCCCCTTAGCTCAGTTCTTTAAGTGGCTGCTTCAACAAAGCAGTCAGGCTTAGGTTGCTGTGGTTCGATCCCCACAACTCAAGCCAGCCAAACCTGCCCTCAGGCAGGAGCAAAAAAAAAAAAGTCTTGACAGGCTTTCTTGAGTTAGTCCATTTTTGGGGATAGTTATATTGGAAATTTGTTTCCATTACTTTATTTTCTTTTTGCGGAACCGTGGATTGAACTCAGGCCCTTGCGCTTGCCAGGGAAACACTTATTCCACTGAGCCATCTCCCTGGCCCCTCCATTACTTTAGAAGAGTATGATTATTTATCTATCTGGAGGGAAGAAGTTTGGTCTGTCTAAACATAAGAAACAACAAGACATTAAACATTGTGCGATTATGTGGCCTCTAGTTTTTCTAGTGGCTTTTTTTTTTTTTTTTTTTTTGTCCTTTTGAGACAGGGTTTTACTATGCAGCTCAGGCTGGCCTCAAACTCCCCATGATCCTCCTGCCTCAGCCTCCCCACGCCCAGCTGTAGAAGCTCTTTTCTAGATCTTCATGATCATATACAGTAAATACTAGTCATCTGTGATTGATTAGTTTTAGATTATTACTGACCTTTTTTGTGATTAGCCTTACTTTTCTGTAAATTTTTTTAGGAAGCCAGGTATAGTGGTGTACTATAATCCCAGTGCTTAGAAGGCTGAGGTGGGAAGATCACTGAGTTTGAGGCCATAGTAAGTTCAAGGCCAGCCTAAAATACATATAGCAAGACCCCGTCTCAAAAAACAAAAACCAAACCAATGGACCCTTATCCTTACAGTTTCTGATAAAGTGTAGGATGATATCTAAGAATTTACATTTTTATTAAGTTCCCAGGATGATCTGTAATCCCATCCATGGAATGTGATGAGTTGTAGGTAGAGATGTAGCTCAGTGGTTTAAAGTGCTGGTTTAGCATGTGTGACACCCCTTGGTTTCAGTCTCCAGAACTGGGGGGAAAAAGGCATTTCATGGGCAAAAGAGGTGAATAAATCAAAGAGCACTGTGGTGTTTTGAGAGCCTAAAGCAATGATGGTGAACCTTCTAGAGCTTTAAGTGTAGTCAACAGCCTGCTGCAGCCTGCATGCCATAGGTTTACCACCACTGGCCTAAAGAAATAGTGGTATTGAATTAGGCTAAATCATATACGCAGAGTTGATTACTGACAGTGTTTTCCTTTCTTTTTCTTCTTCTTCTTTGTTTTGCGGAACCAGGGAATGAACTCAGGCCCTTGAGCTTGCCAGGGAAGCACTTATTCTATTGTGCCATCTCCCCAGCCGTGTGTGTGTGTGTGTGTGTGTGTGTGTGTGTGTGTGTGTGTGTGTTTTCCTTTCAAAGACATAAAATGAAATAGAAATGAGTAGGGAGGAATGTAGATACAGATTCTGAAGTCATAACTGAAGTATAGCTTTAAGGGTAACAACTTTCTAAATGGGCTCAAAGAGAAGAGCAAATATGAAGTATTAAAGAATACTGCTTGGAAAACATCCAAGGTAAAATCAGGGATAATTCAAAAGACAGGAAGAAAAGTCATGTACTTATGTACAAGAAAAGTGGTTTCAAGAAAGGGATAGATCCTGAAAGAGTTAAAAAAAAAGGGCTGGGGATGTAGCTCAGTGGCACAAGTACCTGCCTAGCAAGGGCAAGGTCTTGAGTTTGGTTCTAGTACCAAAAACAACAGAGTTAAAGACATATTAGTGATACATACAACCCATGTTTATAGCAGCACAACTAATAATAGCTAAAACTTGGAAGTTGCCTAGGTGTCTTATCAACAGATGAATCAAGAAAATGGATGTATATACAAAAGAGTACTACTCTGCCATAAGGAAGAATAAATATGAGTCATTTGTAGGAAAATGGATAGACCTTGAGACAATAGTAAGTACAGGCTTAAATATTGCATGGTTTTTCATATGTGAGAAATCCAGAATATAGTTACAGAGCAAATAAAAGAAGTAATAGGAAACAGAGAGATAGCTCCTTTGGAAGTGGGAAGGGAACCAAGAGATGGAAAGAGAGGGGAGAACAGATGGCATGGGGAAGTAAAAAGAATTAAGATATGTTAGGTACATGAACCAATTCCCTATGGTGAAGGTAACATTTATATACTGAAACATACTAATACAATTTTTAAAAATTTCTTAGAAGAGATGAATAATACAAATGCAAAAGAAAATGAGATTAAACATTAAAAAAGAGAACAAGAACAGTGGATCCTTGGCCATGGCAGTGAAATGGTCGGTGTCTTTGTACAATGGGATGGCAGTAAATGTACCAAAATGTTTATGATTGTTATTTCTGGGTGGTAGATTACAGGTAAATTTTTTTCTTTAAACTTTCGTGATTCCCAGTTTCCATAATGAACATTCTTTTCTTAGAAAATTTTGTTTCCAAAACGCCTCGTTGCCTTCAGAAAAACATTTTATTTTTGAAGTGGAGGAGTAGTAACAGAAGGTATGTAAGGGAGGTTTCTGCAGTGAGTAGGTAGTGAGAAAACGGAGGAGGAAAAAGAAAAGAGAACTAGGACAAATAGTCAAGATGTTTTGTTTTGTTTTCATGTAATAAAAAGTAATCATGGGCTGGGGAGATGGCTCAGTGGAATAAGTGCTTCCCTGGCAAGCCCAAGA